CTCCCGCCTTCGCGCGCGGTTCCGCCGGGGCCGCTGATGCAGTCGGGGTGGGGTCCCCGGCCGCATCCAAAGCGGCCCGGTAGTGCCGGCGTCGGAGTGCAGTCCTCTGACGCTGGCGGAGTAGCGAAGGGGGAGTGACCGGGGTATCGGTCACCTCTGGGGGGCGTTCGATCGCCCCCACGGAACGGGCTCTCCGATAAGGGGAGCACAGGCGCGGCGGTGGCGGTGCGTTCACCCGAGATCCCGCCACCGCCGAGTTCCGCCCGAGTAGGCTGCCGCGGGGGTTTTAGTTGGTGAGAGTCCCACACTACCTCGGAGTCCCACCCCAGGACTCCGAGGTGTGCATAATGCATTTCCCCCGCGTAAAAAAAAAAAAAAAAGTATTGAAGCCCGACTCCCGCGTTGTTGCCATTTTTACCTTCAGCACGGCTAGTACTAGAGACCAATTGTGTTTATTACTCATTTCACTGGCAAGAAAATACATCGCTTTTACCCTCAAACGTTCAAACGCGTAAATTTGGTTACTTGTCGAGTACTGAAATAAATATTAAAGTGTATGTGGTTCTTTCTTGTAAGTGTGGCATGCGTTTCAGGGACTTCTGTGGTCAAGTGGTGGGGGCCCTTTCCCCTACGCTGCCTTTCCCTCAACGGGAGCCGACTTTGCTCGTGGGTGTACATCGAAGAGCAAATTCGGCTTCCGCTAAGGGAAAAAGTGTCGTAGGGGAAGGGCCCGCTACCATTTAGTTCTGAGAGTTACTGAAATTTATGCCAAATTAACATTCGGTGTAACATTTATTTCAGTACTTGAAATAAATGTACGAAGTGGTAGGAGACTTTTCTTCTACGCTACTTTTTCCCCTAGCGGAAGCCGAGTTTGCTCGCGAGGGTACGAGGAAGTAAATATAAATGTCAGATTTTTCAAATTTGAAAATTTTTTTAATAAGTTTATTTTCTGTGGCAGTCCTTGCACATAAAGTTTAATCAGCTTACATTGACAGTGACAGACATGTGCATTTAAAAAGGTGGCAACTTTTTGGTAATTGAAAATAACAAGAGTTTCATAAAAACAAAAATCGTACGTATAAAAAAAGAAGAAATAAGCAAACGATATTTTGTACATTTATGTATCTACAAACAACAAACAATTTATTTTCAAAAATGTATTTTAAAGCTCTGAATGTTGAGAATGACGAAACGAAATATAATTCTCGAGATCGGTTGGTATCTCTGTTCCGTCTAGTTCTTTTTGAAGGGCATAATATCTTTTTCTGACATGATAAGCTGCCATTTTTGGTTGTCTGTCTCTTGTAAATATTCCTTTCTTATTACCACCAACCCTTATGTATGCTATAAAAAAAATGTGTTTACAGGATCTATTAACTATTGAATGATCGTTTATTAATTTTCATCGAATCGTTTACATACTTTGAGCTGTTCGAAAGTCAGCGAAATTCCAAATAAATTCACCGATAAAGAAACCTTCGTTCCTCAATCGGTCGAATGCTTCGAAGTGTTTTGAAAATATTTCTTTTTGATATTCTTCACTCCATACATATTCGGGAAGCTGAAAGGTTTTAATATAAATTGAATGCATTGATGTGAAGAATATAACTGAGAAGTAAGAAAAAAATAACATAATTTCCATAGTATTTAGAATATTCAAATTGTTAAACAATTTACCTCGTGTAAACCGGGCATAGTATCAGCACCGTATTCGGACATAAGCACCGGCTTATTATATTTTCTGTGCCATGCTTCAGCTTCACCGATGACTCTGTTCGTAATCGCATCGAGACGGCCCGGGTTATTGTACCAAGCATTATAGCGGTTAAAGCTGATCACATCAAGATATTCACCTGCCTTATCTTCCTACGAATGCACCATACGTACTTAATTAACAATTAAAATTAAAATTGTTGATGAAAGTCATACATGACAAAAAATAAGTCAAAAACGAATAATGAAGTTTTGTCATGCTATATTTCGTTTACGACTAAATCGATGTTAAAGATTTATCAAATACATCTGCACATTAATGCCATTAAAGTCATGTGTTCGTTTATTGCTACTTATTTTCGTTTACGTTAATAACCATTTAATAACCATTTAATATCCATTACGTAATAACCATTGTCACTGGTATGTTGTTATCTTGTTTTCGATAGTGATTTGACAGAAATTGATAATTAGAAAATGTTAACCCTCAGAAATCACACCCTACCAGAGATGGGCATTATCTAGATCAGAGCTGCATAACTTCTGCTCCCGGAGTTAGTTTCCCACTCCGGGGGTACCCCTACTATGCGGCTCAGGCTACCTTATGCCCTACATACGGACAGGGCCATGACACACTGTCGCGGTAGTCGCCAACGAATCCTTCATTACCCCGATGGTTTTTCCATGTATCGACCCTGCGATACAGATCTCCTCAAAAACCAGACCGTTCGCCGAGACAGCTTTCACTCGGATTCCGAAGGACGCATTGATGTATTCTCGCAATATCCCGATTTTCCACACAGCCCTTTTCCAAATTCCCAATGCTGCCAAGATGTATTCCCTAAATGATATCCCTATTTCCTAGGTCATCCTTTTCTAAATTCCATAAACTTAGCGTCCACCCCCTCCATACCGAAACCCGAAACCCCTTTAAATACTGGTCCCAAACAGGGGATGAGACAGTCATTTTCTGAACTTCAGCAACATCACAACGTCACTCTGCCCAATTGTATTCATATTTGTAAATAATAGTTAAATAAAAACGTATTAAAACCTAATTCGGAGTTACCTTAACGACAACTCTTATGGGCGAGCTGTCGTCAGAGAATTTGTTGTACTTCAAACTGTCAGACGGCGTTGAACTCAATGTAGTGACATACGTATACCATAGATGGTGTTGACAGTGTCTATTTGTAGGGAGCGGATACTGCCGTCTCTCTCCTTCCGTAGTGTCTCCTTCTCCCGCAAGGAGAAAGAGGCGCGTGCATCGCGTTGCCGCCTGCGTGCTGTAGATCCATCTTGTCCGCTGTCGCTACAGCACGTACACGTGCTCGTAGACAATAAAGTCTTTGTTCCATACACGTGGCAGTATTATTTAACCTCCGCGCTACAGTGACCGGGACGTAATATCCCTAGCGTCCCTCAACGCCACATATTTCCTGTAGATTTCCTGTTTGACGCGTGATTATTTCCTGTTGGACGCGTCCATCGTCTTCAGAGTCGGAAGTTTCGACGCGCCGACGCTACGCCATATTTTCATTTGAAACCATTCCGGCCGGCTAATTCTGACTTGAGTAATGTTGAGTTAGTACGCGTGAAAAATTGGTTTTTAAGTTATAAATGATGTCACATCAGTACGACATATATTTCCAAATACTATGAAGGGTAAGGAACGTTTCAAGGAATGGGTTGACGTCATTTCAAGTAAAAAAATTCTTGAAATGAATCCTATGAGAGAATACAACAATTTTCGTATTTGCCATCAGCATTTTACAATACACTGATATCATCAAATATGCTATTACAAAAAACTACAACACTTCAGCATTTAACATCTAAGACAGGTAATGATTTTGATTGTTACAAGTACATAACGATCTGTTTTATAAAATATAGCTAAATATTAAAATTTTTTCATAGAAATATGCCCATCCACCTCTATACTATCTACATCTACATGTACTATAAAAAAACCAGTGGGTCCACCGAACGTTCAGTCAAGTCAGTCACCTTTGAGTCCACACCGTTGTCTTACACCAACAGCTATTAAGTATAGTGGAGATGCTTACAGTGAGAGCAAAACTAAGTACATATACAGGGTGTCCCAAAAATGTCCTCCGACCCGGAAATGGGGCACTCGGGGGGTGAATTGGAACAAGTTTTTCCTCAGCAACAATGTAAACTGAGGCTTCGTTACCGAGATATTAACGAAAAACCGCGACCAATCAGAGCGCGAGTTTGCCAGCCGAGTTCCCGCGATAGCGGTGGCTACGCGCTACGCTTGTACTACGAAACTCCGAACAAGTAGGTCACCATGCATCGCAGGAAACCGCGTATAATAATAGCAAATAAACAAGACGTAACAAATAAAATCAAACTATTTATCATCTGTCGTTTGTTATTTAAAGAGATCAATGAATGAAACGTAAATGTAGGCAAATTATGTTTAACGTAAAAAGACGAATGCACATTTACATTTTTGTAAATTCCTTTTTACGAATTTGTAAATTTCCTTTTCAAATAACGTGTGAACGAAAAGGTAATGTAACAAAGAATAAACGAGAAGTGATTGTAGTTCGGTGAAATTAATAAAACAATAATGACCAATAAACTGAATAGAACTCACCCTTACGGAAATTCACCTGCAGCGTAGAAACCTGCGTCAGTAGGTCAGTGTACCGATCCTGGTCATCGACGGCCCAAACGGTTTATGGCAGGGTATGGCCCAGTTCGCAGGTGATCGCAGGTATACCTCACCAGCCGAAGTTAAGGGTTGTAACGTCAAGTGCGTCCTGGTTATTCCACAGAATACGTACTCGCTTCACTGCACGACCACTAACACTGATCACCCGACACAATCACTTAATGTATTTTTAATCCAACGTGTTGTTACTACGTTAGGAAAATTCGTGGCCTCGGAAAGGGCCGATTGTTTTCAATTTTTCAGATGTTTTACGTAACCAAACACTTGCACAGCAACACCCGCATATCCGTTATTGTGTACGTACCACCATAACATTGCGTAATACTCCCGTGAACTGAACATCTCTGTCGCCCGATTGCTAACCGACTGACAGAATTTTTCCTCTACCCCCAAGTAGTTTCCCATCGTTACATTGTGAGTTCACTCCCACCATGACAAGATTTAGGTAGAAAGAAACCAACGGTTCTAGGATAACACGTGCTTTGCAGAAGTGGAAGGAAAGGACCGTCGCGCAGTTTCTCCAAGGCGCCGTAGCCCGTTAATTTATTGCCAGGGTACCTACTCCTTCGAGATAGAAAACAGACATCACGTGCATCGGCTTAAAAATGTCCGAAATGAAGAGGACCATCAACGTATCCCTTGCTTCGAGTTGGAAAGTACAGTGTACATTGTCTATCTCGAGGAGCAGGGAAGAAAATTTACCGACACGTGTCAGTTGACGCTGCTTGGTCCTGGACGACCACCCTTCTAGAGGCCGGAGTGAAATTTTCGGTTATTTATGGCTTAAAATCTTCGGCCTCGTAGCAACCGTGAACTCACAACAGAATTGACAATCGACAATTTTATTAAAACTTTGTGAAATTGTAGTTCTCATGAAAACATTTCATACGTATTTTTTGTTTAGTATTCCGTCAAATATCTCGGAAATTGTTAGTAATATAAAAACCATATAATTCGTAATATTGTGTTTGTTTTGATATTGAATGTAGCTATATCATTGAATTCCAGAATAATCCCTTTCTTTAAACAATCTTTCGCCGACTCCTGACAGTGCGCGGTGCAGGTAAATCCAAAAAAAATACAACCGTATTCGTTGAACTCTTTTCCGTAAATCATTGACACTTTGATATCGCTTTTAATCTCATTGAAATAGTCTGGAGCGTTAGCGATACCGTCAGTCGACTGTAATAGTGGAGCGCCCGGTTCTTTTACCTGAACCGGGGCGCAATGCTTTCTTCAATAGGTTACTGCTACGTTAATATGAACCGCATCACCCTACCGATAGGCTTATTTTACGGAAAAGAGATTAACGAATACTTTAGTATTTTTTTTGGATTTACCTGCACCGCGCACTATCAGGAGTCGGCGAAAGATTGTTTAAAGAAAGGAATTATTCTGGAATTCAATGATATAGCTACATTCAATATCAAAACAAACACAATATTAGAAATTATATGGTTTTTATATTTCTAATAATTTCCGAGATATTTGACGGAATACTAAACAAAAAATACGTATGAAATGTTTTCATGAGAACTACAATTTCACAAAGTTTTAATAAAATTGTCGATTGTCAATTCTGTTGTGAGTTCACGTTTGCTTCGAGGCCGAAGATTTTAAGCCATAAATAACCGAAAATTTCACTCCGGCCTCTAGAAGGGTGGTCGTCCAGGACCAAGCAGCGTCAACTGACACGTGTCGGTAAATTTTCTTCCCTGCTCCTCGAGATAGACAATGTACACTGTACTTTCCAACTCGAAGCAAGGGATACGTTGATGGTCCTCTTCATTTCGGACATTTTTAAGCCGATGCACGTGATGTCTGTTTTCTATCTCGAAGGAGTAGGTACCCTGGCAATAAATTAACGGGCTACGGCGCCTTGGAGAAACTGCGCGACGGTCCTTTCCTTCCACTTCTGCAAAGCACGTGTTATCCTAGAACCGTTGGTTTCTTTCTACCTAAATTTTGTCGTGGTGGGAGTGAACTCACAATGTATCGATGGGAAACTACTTGGGGGTAGAGGAAAAATTCTGTCAGTCGGTTAGCAATCGGGCGACAGAAATGTTCAGTTCACGGGAGTATTACGCAATGTTATGGTGGTACGTACACAATAACGGATATGCGAGTGTTGCTGTGCAAGAGTTTGTAAAACATCTGAAAAATTGAAAACAATCGGCCCTTTCCGGGGCCACGAATTTTCCTAACGTAGTTATAACACGTTGGATTAAAAATACATTAAGTGATTGTGTCGGGTGATCAGTGTTAGAGGTCATGCAGTGCAGTGAGTACGTATTCTGTGGAATAACCAGGACGCACTTGACGTTACAACCCTTAACTTCGGCTGGTGAGGTATACCTGCGATCACCTGCGAACTGGGCGATACCCTGCCATAAACAGTTTCGGGCGTCGATGACCAGGATCGGTTCAGTGACCTAGTGATACAGGTTTG